ACTGATGACAGATGCCTAAGAAATCGCACTTTCTGTCTTTCCTCGCGGCGCAGGCATGATATCACGTGCTACTTGAACACCAATCAAATTCAATAGCTCACAGGGTCACGTGTCAAAAGATCTTAGGAGGAGCTGCTCAATCGGGGGATACATTGCGTATTTACAGTGTGTTCACACAAAGGTGCCAAATAGCATCCTCAGTGAATAGGTATCAATGTCATGGTCAATCTAAACGCAATACGGTTCATTGCTTCCTATGTACACGTGAATGGTTATACTGAATTATCCTCTCTCAACACCTAGTTTATATTCAAAATACAACATAAACACTTATAATGTCTGAACTACGAGGCATGTGATGCTAAAACATCTACGGTGTTACCCACACATTACTAATATCACCAGAAAAGTAATCCACTCCCTAGAAAGAAAATGAGTAATTGTGTTCATTATAATTTGGGGTTCTCTGTGTCTCATATTACCTCAGCTTGGTGTCTTCTCATGCCTTGAGGGTTGAATGTTAATATTTGTGATCGATATTTCATGGTAGTGTTGGTAATCAGAAACTGAATCGTTGTTTTGGTTGTTTGTACGGCTTTCGTTGGTTGAAATAATGCGCATGCGCTTTACAATACTGGTACGTACTACTAACACCAGGTTTATGCACGCTGTGTGGTTTACTTTTTTGTCAAAGTATCTGTGTCATTTTACAAAGAGTATTTTACCAATTAAAATCATTTATTAAATTAATTAAAGTTAAAGTAATATTTTTGTGTAATTAGTGCTTATGAAAATTATTGGTGTGCATAAGAAATACATTTCTTTAATTTATTTCAAATTTTCTTGTCAAATCAGTTGTTTTCATTTGTTATCCAAAAAACGAAAGAATTTGACAATGTTAAAAACAGAAATTTTTTACTGTAGTGTTATACGTTATACGCATCGCCGTACTTTGAGTATAACATTTGAATAAAAAGATGCGTCTACAACATATCAGTTCAATATCACTAACATGTTTGGTCCGTCATTAGAATCGAAGTACTAGTAGTATGTGTGATATTTGTATTCGTTGCAACATGGCTACGTACCGCGTTTGTTAATGCAGATACATTAAGCATTATCCACGCTTACCATTCACGTGGTCACGCACAAACGATCAAATCTAAGCTAAATCTGATATATCGACGAAAATCCGTTATAAGTCTTTTATTCGAAAAATGATCACATTTAAGGAACTAAACAAATATATTAAAAACGCAAATAAATCGACTCGAAGTATTAACAAGTCAGTCTTACACGTTTGTTTTTCAAACTGTCAAAATGTAGTGTATGGATTAATTCCAGTGACGTTATAGCATGGTTATAGTAGCACACAATGTTTCTTTTTTTCATTTATACCCAAATAACGCTTCTTGTATGGGAGACATGGGACGCAAACACAACCAAGACAAGGTTTTGTCATAATGAGAAACGGGGGCAAGCGTAGTCGGTATTTCAAGGCAACTTAAATGAAATTCCCGAGATTGCCACGAACCAAATGATGTTTATTGTCAGTCCAATAATTCGCTTTTGTTTGATATACTTTCAAATGTGGGAGTACTAATCCCTATAAGAATGTGTTTCTTTCTCATCTACCACAAAGTGAACCTTGGGTAATACAAGGTAATGTATACAAAAAGAGAGTAATCTGTTGCCAGCTCAGGTATATTACAAAAAGCGAGTTTTCTGTTGTCAGTTTATTGGGTGTGCGGGTAATCCCCTGTGACGTTGGGTGGTATTACCTAAATGTACACGATTTGTTGGTAAAAGGTGGGCAGTTTCAGTCGAGAGATATTGAGCTAACATTAATGGAAGTTTTCTCTTTAATAACATGCGTTTCTTTTAAAAAAAAAAAAAACATTACGGAGTTTCAAAACGCGCAGTACCCTCCAGCAGACCCCACGAAAACGAACGTCCACTTATACAATGCGTTTGGTATTTGCTATGCTTTCGGCGTGTAACATGGTTTGTTGTTCCACGCATTCTTTAAACAAGCATGTAATTTTCCGCTTTGCAACTCGTCAACGAAATGTCTTCCGGCATGCGAAGTCTTGTCTGACTATGTCACAGTTATTTGCAAACGTAAACATAAACGCGTAGTATCCGACAGAACAATATCAACCGCGGATGTCACTTTAAAATCGAATCTTTATTAAGCAAGACGAACATTGCACACTTCTCAATGCCGATTTCTGTCATCCCGAGTCATCGCAAGTTAAGAAGTTTTGTCTAACCTTCAACCTTTGGTTTATTAAAGCGGGGGGGGGG